ATATTAAATGGGCTTTATATAATTATACTAAAATTCCATCAGAAGATAATTAGGCCCATTGAGCTTCTCAGGTTTGTGTTCCTTGTCTGAAAAATACTTTTCCTCATGAAAAATGTTCATGTATATATATATATATATATATATATTCTTTTTATTTCGTTGGGAAGGGTTTCTAATACATTATAATGAGCAAACGAATTTATTTCGTTGTCGAATAGATATCGTTGGCAATACATTTTTTTTATCTCACAATGCTTGTAATTAGTTGGCACAAGTATTTCATTGCCAATAACATTTGCAATGCGCAAGGAAATTATTTTCATCGCAAAAGATATGCACAATAGACAACAAATATTATCGTTTTGCCGAAACCTGAAACTTTTGCAACGAGGTACAAGTTTTTTTGCTTAAACAATGAAATTGACATCTTAGCTAAAAAAATTGTTTCCAATATCACAAGTACTTGTATATCTAACTGAATATAAAGAGGAATCAGAGATTAATAGCATCATCTCTGTTGTTAGCAGACATCCTTTCTTCTCGGCTGAATCTAAGACGGCACTGCATAATCGAGAAGATAGTGTAAGCTAAACTAAATACAATTCTTAGTTGCTATCTGATCAAATGACATATTTAAGAAATTTAAGGTAGCCAATTATTGGCAGAAACATAGCATTCCATTTTTGCACACTTGAGTAAAAATTTCGGATAATAATAACTTCATTGCTACATCACACAAAAGTAAATTTCTCATTACTAATAGGCAAATTCGCAAACTATGTTCCTTATACTACCCTAAGAAACTAGAAAATTACGATACGGACCAACTTACTTGGACAGAAATTGTTCCATACTTGTGGCAAAAAAAAAAAAAAAAAAAAAGGCAATACCATTTCTAAAAGGGCACGATCTCTGATGCTCCTCCCTCGATGCCCTGTCGACAAAACCATTTTTTGTTTTCTTGTGTGGGCATAGGGGATACAAGCAGGTATAAACTATTCTAGGCGCCACCCTAGCATCAAGTTTTCTTTTAGGAGAACGAGTTGTCGGAGTTGGATTGGGAACTTCCTCTGTACCAAACTCTAAAACAGCTTGTATGCCTTTATCAGTGAAGTCAAAATCTCCAGAACTGTCACAACCAAGAAAGGCAGAAAACGAAAAAACGAGCCAAGATTGTAATAATAGAAACTAAGGAATTTTAAGTTCATAATATCAAATACATGATTGAATCTTATTTCGATTAATTCAAATTGTAGTAAACTTACTCAAGTACTGATTCAGGAGCCTCCGATCGTGTCATATCTGCATCGGATAATGGTCTCTGCATTTTCCTCTTACTTTCTCTCTCTATCTTCGAATCTTCTCTGAGATGATCTTTTTCTGTTTTATATTGACGAAAACTGTTCTTCCATTTTTTTGATAAAATCACTCGTTTCTTTGCTTACATCAACCATGGCGAATTTCCGATATCGTTTCCCTATTTTTCAGATTCAGTAACACCGTTTCCACAACCTTGAACCTGTTAAGATGATTGGATTTAAAAAAAAAAAAAAAAAAAAACTATGTCAAGGTAGTTTTGCAGCTCTCAGTCGAATGGAAATTCGGAATTAATTCCACAATTCAAAGTTTATATAATCATAATCAAATGCAACCCTAAAACTGAATGTTGTAGATGAATAAAATGATCACACAATCACAATTTTCAAATTCACCCCCAAATAAACCAAAATGTATTAACAAGAAGTTGACACGGAATTCGCAACTGGAAAGTCGGAATTAATGCCACAGTTCATAGTTTACATCATCGTTCTCAAATTCTATACCTGAAATCGAATGCCGTAGATGAAGATAATCACACAATCAAAACCTGTAGAACCAATTTTCAAATTCACCCCCAAAATTTTTTAAACCAAAAAGTTGCCACAATTGAAAAATTACATCATCGTTCTCAACTGCTAACGTAAAACCGAATTCCGTAGATGAAGATAATCACAGAATCAAAGCCTGCCTGCAGAACCAATTTTCAAATTCACCCCCAAATTAAACCTAAAAGTTGGCTCTCTACAATAACTGAATAAGTTGACATGGAATTCACATGAAATCTAACCAAATTAAAAGAGGATCAAGGAAACAGAATCGGAAATTCAGAGATAATACATACACATTACAGATATATACATACAACGATAGAAATAGAATGGATTTCAGTAGTGATAGTTTCGAGCTTGCATGAATTAGGGGAGAGAGTCTCTGCATTTTCCTCTTACTTTCTCTCTCTATCTTCGAATCTTCTCTGAGATGATCTTTTTCTGTTTTATATTGACGAAAACTGTTCTTCCATTTTTTTGATAAAATCACTCGTTTCTTTGCTTACATCAACCATGGCGAATTTCCGATATCGTTTCCCTATTTTTCAGATTCAGTAACACCGTTTCCACAACCTTGAACCTGTTAAGATGATTGGATTTAAAAAAAAAAAAAAAAAAACTCTGTCAAGGTAGTTTTGCAGCTCTCAGTCGAATGGAAATTCGGAATTAATTCCACAATTCAAAGTTTATATAATCATAATCAAATGCAACCCTAAAACTGAATGTTGTAGATGAATAAAATGATCACACAATCACAATTTTCAAATTCACCCCCAAATAAACCAAAATGTATTAACAAGAAGTTGACACGGAATTCGCAACTGGAAAGTCGGAATTAATGCCACAGTTCATAGTTTACATCATCGTTCTCAAATTCTATACCTGAAATCGAATGCCGTAGATGAAGATAATCACACAATCAAAACCTGTAGAACCAATTTTCAAATTCACCCCCAAAATTTTTTAAACCAAAAAGTTGCCACAGTTGAAAAATTACATCATCGTTCTCAACTGCGAACGTAAAACCGAATTCCGTAGATGAAGATAATCACAGAATCAAAGCCTGCCTGCAGAACCAATTTTCAAATTCACCCCCAAATTAAACCTAAAAGTTGGCTCTCTACAATAACTGAATAAGTTGACATGGAATTCACATGAAATCTAACCAAATTAAAAGAGGATCAAGGAAACAGAATCGGAAATTCAGAGATAATACATACACATTACAGATATATACATACAACGATAGAAATAGAATGGATTTCAGTAGTGATAGTTTCGAGCTTGCATGAATTAGGGGAGAGAGTACTGTCTCTGCATTTTCCTTTTACTTTCTCTATCTAGAATATTACCTCAGATTATCGTCGCTTACTTTCTCTCTCTATCTTCGAATCTTCTTCTCTGAGATGATCTTTTTCTGTTTTATATTGACGAAAACGAGAAGATGGAAAATACAGTTAGAGGGTTTCAGTTGTGCTGTGGCGGGAAAAGGCAGTTCTCGTCTTTGCGCAGCTGTACATATTTTAATTGGTTTAGGTTGGGGCCCACTAAATGCCAGCTTTGAATATTTTGTTATTTTTAGTCAAGGTGAAAAATAAAGAGTTAAATGCAAATACACCCCCTGTGTTAATTCTAAAGACCAAAAACCCCCCCGGGATAAAAAAAGTGACAAAAACCCCCCTGACAAGTGTTTAAACAAGCATACTCGACCCATTTTATTTTTATCCGTTGACCGCTCGTGAAAAGACGAATAAACCCTCGGATAAATCTGTCCAACCACAAAAATTTTATGACCCAAATGAAGTTGTTAAAATTTTCAATTCAGTCCCTAATACTTTCAATTATACCCTCTTCCCCAAATCAAAAAAAACACAGACACACAAAAACACACACTTTTTTTTTTAATTCTCTGCTCACCTCACTCACCCCACCCCACCACTGTCGTCGCCGGCTCCGTTCATGGGCTGAAACCTCTCTCCGGCAACCAAGAATTAAAAACATAAAACATTAAAAAAATTTCTAATTTCTAAAGCAAATTTCTAATTTACCCATAATCAACATAAAACATTAAAAAAATTGAAGCATTTTCACCCAGAATCAAATGAAGCATTAAAAAATTAGATGCCTTTCAGACATCTTCGACATACAAAAATGATGAAAATATCACACTGAACAAAGAAAAATCATGCACAGACCAATTTGATTCATCAAACCCTAATTGCAGCAGTACAAAAATGAAAAAAAAAATTATCAAGCAAACTAATGAAGATCTAAATTATCCTCGCAGTCACGAACATAAGACATAAATATGCATTTCTCTCTCTACATGTATGTGTTTTAGAGAGAGAAAGAAGAGACCATCCATGGAGGCGCTTGTGAAGGTTGATTGTGTACTCCCTAGAGACGACCTCCTCTTTCCTCGCCTTGCTACCCTTCTCCACCATTGTTGCTACCCTTCTCCTCATTTTTTTTCTTCTTTCTGAATATGTTTAAATATAATTTATATTTTTTTCATTTTATTTGTTTAAATTTAAATATTATTAAAAATTCATATTTCTATGCCATTTTAATTTTTTTTCGTTTTTTAATATGTTTAAATATAATTTATATTTTTTCATTTTATTTGTTTAAATTTAAATATTATTAAAAATTCATGAGTAGTTTAATTGTTTCATGAGTTTTGATTCAGAGGGGTAATTTTGTCCTTTCACGCACAAAATGTACAAAAATCACACAAGTAATCGCACACACAGCGAGTGAATGACACGCATAAAGATTAGGGGGGTGTATGGCTTTGACTATTGATTACAGGGGGTTTTTTGTCACTTTTTTTATCTCAGGGGGTTTTTTGGTCTTTAGGATTAACACAGGGGGAGTTTTTGCATTTAACTCGAAAAATAAATTGGCACGAGCAGAAATTGGAATCAAAAAAATGTTCTAGAATCGAAAACAACGGAAACGAATATTCAATTTTTTTTTACTCACATATAATGGAAAATAAATAATAATGTTGAGATTATAAAGGTGATATTTTGTTACGTACGCTAAAATATAGTTTTTTTAAGTCATAATGCAGTAAGATATGTTTTCATTAATTATACTTTGTAAGGTCGAAATTAAGTTGAATTTTGTTCCAATTTTGGAATTAGAATTGAAAATTGTTAATCCAAAATTGAAACTTCAGTAGGATTTTATTCCAATTTCTTGCCACATTGCAACTAAATATCATCTCATTCAAATTATTCTATAGATTACGAAATCCACTACAAAAAGACGATGGCTGCCTTTCCGGCCATATCGCAACTAAAAAACCCCATTTATTTCCATCTTTTTTGGTTTCTTTAAATATAAAACCAGGAAAAACGATCATCTGATCCACGTACACGCAAATCATTTCGAGAGAAAGAGAGAGAGAAAGTAATATGTCTAGCTAGTCAAAGATGAAAAGATAACTACGTCGTCCTTATTTTCCAGATGGCGGCGTTGAGAGTAAAGACGACGACGCCATCCTTATTTTCCAGATGGCGTTACATCCCCAATCTATATTTGCTGCTACTTTGGGCTCATGATGCAGGACTTGCTTACCATCCATGTTAATCAATGGTGATAAGATCGCCGCAATCTCGTTCGGCTCCCGTTGTAGCTTTTCAATCATTACCGAAGGGCTTGGCAAATACCTACTCGCATTCTTCCCATACCATTCTATTCATTCATCCATTCCATAAACACACACAATTATATTATAATATAATAAAAAAGAAAAATCAATATATATATCGACATTTATTTACCCATAGTATCGAGATCGTTGTTTTCTTGAGCATAAGCTGTGGCTTGGTCCTCGTAAGCCCTGACTAGTTTGTCCAAACGCATGGATTGTTGTACGAGGATCTTAGTGGCATCCCGGACTCGTTTTACGCGAGGATTTGTTTGCTCAAAAGGCAATGCTTTCTCGGCATTGTCAATAAGTAACTCTAAACTAGGGTTGGTAATTTCTTCGATGTGGGTCCTCATTACGTAACCCATCAAGTAGACTAACTTACGCCACTCTAAAATGTGTTGCTCTAGTTGAGGCCACAATCTAGCAAGCTTTTCATCCTTTTCAATTTCGTCCGGGATTCGAACCCCGCCACACCCTGGAGGGTACGGGTGGTTTAGTAACGCTTGCATGGCCAACTCCCCGATAGCCGTACCCATTCCTTCTTTGAAGGATTCAATCATGTTATTGAGCCGCCGCATACGCCCTAGCACCGGAATTTCCGACATTTTTCTGTTAAAAAAAAATTCATAAATTAAACCCCTTTCAAAGTTAAGGCTCTTATAGATTGATATTCAACACTCCAAAACCCTAGTATCTTGTACAAGATTAATCTAACTACGAATATTCAACTAATTAATTAGTGGCTGAGCCAATAGATATCAACAGTTCAACAAAATACCAATGAATTACTAGGGTTTTATAGATGTTGCATCTGCTGAAATATACTGGGCTATTGTGTCCTATTGTACACTATTGATGTATATATAATAACACACACTCATGTATATGTGCGCTTAGTATATATGTGGTTATTTGTATAGATCTATTGTACAAAATACCCCGTGCAGTCCGTGTAACCATGTCATAGAGAATTATATGTTTCTCTCTCTTAAGTTTCTACATAATTAAAGGGTAAAAAGTTAATACAACACACGAACAACAACATAACCCTTATATCATCAACCAAAGCCAAAATTCACATTCAAAACGCCCAAAGAATAATAAAAAAAGAAAAACATAATACCTTATAATTTGATTAAAATAACACAGCCCTTACAAAATTCGTCACACTGGGGAAAAGCATGTGACATCAGCGTTTCCTGTATTTATAATACGATTAATTAACTCTCACGGGCCCTAAGCTCTTATAAATTATCAGTTTGAGCCCAATTAATTATTTTTAGGCCCAACTTTCCTCATTTTATTTTTGAAATAATATTTTTCATGGTGCTAAATGTCACTAAAAGGTAAGATGTGCCTAATATTGGTAGACCGTGTAGCATCTAATGAAAAAACAAAATGACACAAGCAATCTTTTAGGCTGTTGTTTTATTATTGGCTTATTAGCCAATTCATTGGAGCTACCTAGGATATTGATTAAATATAAAAAATTCAAATAGGGGCATAATAATAATAATAATAATAATAATAATAATAATAATAATAATAATAATAATAATAATAATAATAATAATAATAATAATAATAATAATAATAATAATAATAATAATAATAATAATAATAATAATAATAATAATAAGACAAAACCATATGTGAAGGAATCTAAATCAAAGTTCACCATCATGCCAAAATTTGATGCCCTCATAAAATCTTTTTCGTCAAGATGCCATTTAGCTTGATGCTTAAATTAAATTCCAAGATTCTTTTTTACAATAATTGAAAATTCTAAGATTCTTTTTAAATAAATCTTGAAAATAATTGAAATATGTATATATATATATAATAAACGTAACATAATCGTCAAACCCCACAATCATAATAACAAACACACAGTAAAAAAGATTTTGAAAAATTAAACTTAGGCCCACACCAAATTTTGCCAATATTAGTAGCATCATCATTCATCAATGACAAAAAAGACCACCTCACCTCACATAAATTAAAATATTATTGCAACTTCCCTTTATATTAATCCCTTAAACCAAAATCAATTCTTCACAATCATCTCTCTCTCTCTCCTCTATTTTATCTCTCTAGAATGGAGTTTTTATCATCAGTTTTTCCTGAGTTTACAGAGATGGAGGCACCTGTTTTATCAGCAATATTAACAGTAATTATATCAGGATTATTATTATGGTATTTTTATGAGCCATATTGGAGTGTTAGAAAAGTGCCAGGTCAGCCACCAATTCCAATTCTAGGACATCTCCCTTTGCTTGCCAAACATGGCCCTGATGTTTTCTCTGTTCTTGCCAACCAATACGGTCCCATTTTCAGGTGTTTTTTTTTTTTTTTTTTGTCTGAATTTTTTTCTTGTCTGAAATATAATTTTCTCATGAAAAAAAAATGTTTGAAAACAGGTTTCATATGGGGAGACAGCCACTAGTGATTATAGCTGATGCAGAGTTATGCAGAGAAGTTGGTATAAAGAAATTCAAATACTTTTCCAACAGAAGCATCCCTTCTCCCATTGCAGCTTCTCCTCTTCATCAAAAAGGCCTCTTCTTCACAAAGTATATAATTACGGAATCGTCGAATTGTTTCGATAATCGAAAGCTCGTAATTTTCTCGAAAACAAGAAATTATATTTTTTTGTTTTTTTTTTTCAGGGACGGACAATGGTCGGCTATGCGAAACACGATTCTATCCGTTTATCAGCCGTCTCATCTTGCGAAATTAATTCCTACCATGCAAGAATTCATTGAATCCGCCACTTCGAATCTCGACGCTAAAGATTTCGTCTTTTCTGATCTATCACTTAAATTAGCAACAGATGTGATTGGACAAGCTGCATTCGGGGTCGATTTCGGCCTCTCCAAGCCCAATTCCGTCACTAAGTTAAACAACAAAAACGACGAAAATCAAGTCCAGGAATTCATCAAGCAACATATTTACTCCACTACCCAACTCAAAATGGATTTATCCGGCTCGTTTTCGATCATATTAGGCCTCCTTATTCCGATCCTACAAGAACCCTTTCGACAGATTCTCAAACGAATACGTTTCACCATGGACTGGAAAGTCGAACGAACAAACAAGAATCTGACTAACAGGCTCGATGAGATCGTTCAGAAAAGAACGAAAGACAACGTTGGATCGAAAGATTTCTTGTCCCTTATACTTCGAGCAAGAGAAATGGAGACAGCTGCAAAGAACGTCTTCACATCGGATTACATCAGCGCAGTCACTTACGAGCATTTATTGGCCGGATCAGCAACTACTTCGTTTACGTTATCTTGCATCGTTTATTTGGTAGCTTCCCATTTAGAAGTCGAGCGGAAGGTTCTAGAAGAAATCGACTCGTTTGGGCCCCACGGTCAAATTCCCACAGCCAATGATCTTCAACACAAGTTTCCTTATCTTGATCAGGCAGGGTTTTCTTCTATGTTTTCATTTTCTTGAAATATCGAAAAAAACAAAACAGAGGAATTTGGAGATAATATCTCATTTTATTAAATCTTTAATTTTCGAGTGCAGGTAATTAAAGAAGCAATGAGGTTCTATACAGTTTCACCTTTAGTTGCTAGAGAAACATCAGCAGAAGTTAGTATTGGAGGCTATGTTCTCCCAAAGGTACATAAAACCCAATCCAAAGATTAAAAATCCAGTCTTTACACTGTATCTATACACATATATATGGTTATTATTATTTTTTAAAGATGGGCATTTTTAATTGGCAGGGAACATGGGTGTGGTGGGCTATAGGTGTTCTAGCAAAAGATCCGAAAAATTTCCAAGAACCGGAGAAATTCAGACCAGAAAGATTCGATCCAAACTGCGAAGAGGAAAAAAGAAGGCATCCTTACGCAAACATCCCGTTTGGCATAGGGCCTCGTGCTTGCATCGGACAGAAATTCACCTTGCAAGAACTCAAACTTTCGATGATTCATCTATACAGAAATTACGTATTCCGCCACTCCCCACAGATGGAGAACCCCTTGGAATTCGACTACGGCATTGTACTCAACTTCAGACATGGCGTAAAGGTTCAAGCCATCAAACGCCCATGAAAAAATAGAAGCACGTCTGTTAGAATAATATAATATAAATTCATTTTGATTTAGTTTAGCCTTAATTAGGTGATTTGATTAGATTCAATCAAGTCTTAATTAGTGATTTGATTAGTGATTTGATTAGATTCAATCAAGTCTTAATTAGTGATTTGATTAGGGATTTGATTAGGTGTAATTAGTTTCTTCCTTTATTATTTCTCTCTTGTGTGTATATAAATGTACAAGCTCTCATTGATGAAATACAAGACACAATTCATCTTTTTCATTATGTGTTTCATCTTTTCTACATGGTATCAGTGAATCTTTGATTTTTTTCTCCTCATTCTTCAAAATGTCTACCGACGATCTTCTTCCTACAAAGTCGTCATCATCATCACCCACATCCATCATAACCGATTTATACACAATCCATCATTCCGATAGTCCTTCTACTATCCTTGTCACACCTTTGTTGACAGGAGATAATTACGGATCATGGAGTCGTGCAGTCACAATGGCACTTTGTGCCAAAAATAAGCTTGGTTTCGTTGATGGGTCACTCCCAATTCCGACAGAGAAATCTGACATTTCTAATTGGGAACGTTGTAACGATTTGGTAGGAAGTTGGATCCTTAATTCTGTTTCACCTGAGATCCGTCCAAGTATCTTGTATGCTGAAACTGCAGCACAAATTTGGACCGATCTCAAGGATCGTTTTTCTCAATCAAATGCTCCAAAAATCTATCAATTGAAACAATCAATTTCTTCTCTCAAACAAGAAAGCATGTCTGTTTCATTGTATTTTACGCAACTCAAATCTCTATGGGATGAACTCGGTTCCATTATCCATATCACTCCTTGCATTTGTGGTAATGCTAAAAGCATTATTGACCAACAAAATCAAGATCGATCCATGGATTTCTTCAAGGACTACATGATCGTTTTTCCGCTATTCGCAGCCAAATTCTCTTGATGGACCATTTCCTTCCATTCAACGTATCTATAATTTGGTTCGTCAAGAAGAAAAGCAACAAGAGATCAATATTCTCACACTCCTACTGTAGTGCCGTGACCAGCTAGTTCCCAGGGGCTGCCCCTTTTTTTTTTTTTTTTTTTTTTTTTTTTTTTTTTCTT